AAAGGGTGTTAAGTCTGCGAACAAAGTTGTCTTTTCAGTAATTCCAACAATACACTTGAGGATAGTAGAGTAAGTCGTGAAACTCCGTGGCAAAATAATTTAAAACAGCACTCGAGCCTGGAATATCAAGGCTGAAAAGCTAAAGAACTTGAAGCATGGAAAGGATGCAATCATAAGAAACACCACATTTGAGGAAGGGTGGAATCTTATCTAGAAGAAACTTACGCAAAAGCAGCATCAACAGAAGTTGGTGCTGCACTCAATCCACTACCAGCTACAAGACCAGGACCAGTAAAACAAATTACTATCACTGTGAATGATGCAATACAAAACAAAGAAGAGAGTTACAATATGAAAATGACTAAAACCAGGAATTGGCAGATTGGGTTTCTGCAATGTAACAGCTCCAGGCTGTGTTCCTCCAGAAATGAAGTCAACATTTTGACTGTTCCGCCTTTCTTGTTCCTTCCTCTCCATTTCACGCCTCATATCAGCCTCTGTACAAAAGACAAACACAAACTTAGCTTTCTTAAGGAAATGGAGAACACCCAAGCTAAGGATTATTATTTGATTGGAACGAACTAGTCTAGTTAGAATATGGGTTTGGTCGGGTTGGACAAACACTGAAAATCTTACCCTGGAGCAACCCATAACCAAAATAATTTAAAAACATTTAAGTTTCTTTATTTAATTTCTTTAGTTTAGACTCATTATATTGGTTATATTTATCAATGGTTGATTAAATATGGCAATTTATATCCAGCACCAAGGCACGCATTACATTGTGCGCCCTGATGCAAAACGACGTCTTTCAGTTTTTTTTTTTTTTTTTTTTTTTTTTTTTTTTTGAAATTTCGCTGTCCTGTGTTGGCGGTTAATTTTCTTTAAAAAAAATTTCATGTTAAAAGATGTACATAATTTTATACTAGAATACACATAATTATATACATGAATGTACATAATTGTATAACAAAATACACATACTTTAAAAAAAAAGATAATACATATAATCTAACATAATATACATAAACTTTTAACATAATAAACATCAACTCTTAACATAATACCCATAAATTTCCAATTTCGGATGTACATGATTGTATAAAAAATGTACATAATTGTATAAATAAATACACATAATTGTATAAACAAATGCACATAATCACATCAAATGTCTACATAACATACCAAAACGACGTCATTTTGGAAAGCGCGGGACGCAGAGTGCTATGTACAGTGCGACGTGGTGCAGGGTATAACGATTGATTAAATATAGCTTGGGTGGGATCAGACCAAACAATAAAATTCTTGGTTTGACCAGAACGAAAAAATTTTAAAGAGTATTTTTTTTTCTTCATTTCTTTAGTTCAAAGTTATTACATATATTTATCAATGCCTAATTAAATATGAGTCAGGTTCGACCAAGCGAAACAATAAAAATCTAGGACAAGCGCCCGACCAACATCAAAAAAAAAATAAAAAATTCTTTTCTTCAATTTTTAAAATGTCATAATTATTATTATATTTATCAAGTTATGCATTCAAAAAAAAAGTTAAAATTTATTTATTATATCTTTTTATTAATTATAATAATAATTATTAATCTTTATAAGTATTATATATGTAATTTATAATTTTAGTTTAATATGAACTAGTATTTTCACCCGTGCGAATGTGCAATGCTCGAAATGGATTTGTCATAATATATTAAGAATATTTGGATCGATATATAATTATTTAAATTATAACATCAAATACTCTATATTATATAGTGCAATTGAAGATATGGGTTGGATCGTTTATGTTTGTTGATGTTATCATTGCTTGAATTTGAGGAAATTATTGCTCAAATTAATAGTTAATGTGTAAATGTACACATGTGGTGCTGTAACTTTATAAATTTTTATATATCATTGTTTATGATTTTTATAAATTGGGCAAATGTGCTCGTTCTCTAGCAACTTAGTTATAGTAATTAATTGCTTCCCTAATTCATTTGTATAAAAGATATATTTTTGTCAAAATATATAGCAATTTTGTCATTTTGAAAAAAAAAAAAAAAAAAAACAAAACATAATATCATCGATTGTATTTACACATTATTGAAAACCTGTTTATAAACAACATTGGTAGTCACAACACAATCTTGTCCATCCTTGTCTAGAGCTAACACCTTCAGGCCATCAAGATGGATGACTCAGGAGAAAGCCAAGTACAATTGTTCGTGATTAAAGACAGGTTTTTTTGGCAATAACCCAATGTGAGTTAGTGTTTGACCTTGACTTTTGTTGATAGTCATGGCATATGCAAACATCAACAGGAATTGTTTACGCTAGAACTTGAAGGGAAATCTCATATCAAAAGGAGTGAGAGACATTCGGGGGATAAGAACTTTGATTCCTTCATGTGTCTCATTAACTATTCTCCCGATGTGCAACAATCAGGAATTAAACTCAACTAATTTGCCCTTTCCCAAGGTGCAACAGTTAAGTGCAATTGTGTGTGCCCTAAATTATGCCTAACTCCTGTTATGACACAAAGAAAGTTATGAAACAAGTAATTACGTTCATTAACTACTAGCACCAAACAATATAATCACAATTGCAACACAAGTTATAACCCAAATTGATGGATTTTATGAACCCGGGCGTCCGGATTATACAACCCGAATATATGTTTGAATATAAGAAATAAATAATAAAATGATAAGTTTTATATTAATTGAGCATAAAATGCTATTACAGAGGTTCGGGACTTGTAATAACATTACAAGTATTGTCTGAAGGTAGAAGATGATTGATTAGGACACCGGGGGGTGTTTATATACCCCTCGTCGCTATGGGCCCTGGGTCCGCGAGAGGAGCCACGGCCCGTGCCGCGGGACTCGCTCCATGCGAGGACCTGGTCCTTGGCCAGTTGGCCGAGCACGAAGCTCGGCCAAGGGGCCGACCATGGGCTCGGCCGAGCCCACGTGCCCGAGCCCGTGGGGGGTCGGCCGACGCCGAGTCGACCCCGGGACGGTTCTCCACGCGTCGCGGGTGGGTGCCGGGTCCGATCCGGTCCGTATTGCTCCGCTCCGATCCTGCTCCGTGATTATTCCATCACAAATAATAATATATTAAAGAATCATAGAACTAGGCACATAGGTTCATAAACTTTTACCCAAGAATCTCTAAAGTAAATTAGCCACACATGGCTAATATGCAATACATAGCAAATATTGAGAGTTTACAAATAATATAAAAGAGTACAAGAATTAAACCAAGCGATTCTCCCAAATCTCCTTAACTTACTCCTTGCTTCCCTAGACACCTTGTGGCTCTTGATTCTCTTCTTTCTTGTCTCCAAAACTGAGCATAATCTGATCTAGGGTTGAGGAAGACGTCCTTTTATAGCGGGGGTCAAACCGGGACAAAATAGGTATTTTCCCGCAAAACTTTGGAAACTGCCGAAACCTAGCCTTTCGGTCGCTCGACGCATCGAGCCTGGCGTGTTTTCTCGGGGAAGCGCTCTGGAAATTCTCGACGCATCGAGTCTATTGTTGCACAAACCCAATGCTCACTGGAAAATCTTGACGCGTCGAATCCCCTGAGTCAGCCTCCATTGGTCCATTTTGGCTCCCAAGTCGTCCTAGAACTTCCCTTGCTCTTGCACTTGACCTAAAATGGTTCCGAAACACTAATAAACGCCGTAAAACATTCAAAACAAGTCTAAATCATATTTAAATGGTAACACAAGGGGAATATGCAATTAAAGCCACATTTTCATGAACTTACACCTAAAAAATATTATCAAACTAACACTAGAAATATGCACAAATAAGCTCACATCAGTGGATTTATGCTTAAGGTGTGTGAGTTTTGTGCTTAATGTGAGTAGTTGTTGAAAATTAAAGTGCGTGTGTTTTGTGCTTAAGGTGCGTGTGTTTTGTGTGCTTAAGGTGCGTGAGTTTTGTACTTGAGGTGTGTGAGTTTTGTGCTTAATGTGAGTAGTTGTTGAAACTTAAGATGCGTGAGTTTTGTGCTTAAGGTGCGTATGTTTTGTGTGCTTAAGGTGCGTGAGTTTTGTACTTAAGGTGCGTGAGTTTTGTGCTTAATGTGAGTTGTTGAAACTTAAGGTGTGTGGGTTTCCTTCTTAAGGTGCGTTATTTTCCTTCTTAATGTGCGTGATTTGTATATTTAAGGTGCGTCAGTTGTGTGAAACTTAAGATGAGCCATTTTAAAACCTTAGGTGTGTAGTTTGTGTTCTTAATGTGCTTTTTGGTATGCTTAAGGCGTGTGGGTTCGTTGTTTACTTAAAGTGTACGTGTGGTTTGTGTTCTTAAGATGTTTTGTTTGTGTGCTTAAGATGTGTTGTTTGTGTGCCTAAAATGCGTTATTTTAATGCTTAAGGTGCATATCAACCACACAACTGCACTGAAATCCTTAGCTCCACGCACATGAACATTTCCCTATATATATATATTTATCAATCAACCATTTTCTAGGTGCTGGCTCTCTTTATTTTTTTTTTTTTCCTTTTTTTCTTAATTTATTTATGTGTAACAAAAAGTAGTGGATGAACAGTAGGAAACCGTGTTGCCTGGGTCGATGAAAATTAATAACCTTATTTTTACATAAATTATATTTTTCCATATGAATCCTAATTCCAGTGCAACTTATTGCGCATACATCAATGCCATATATTTTGCAGCATATCGCAACCAAAAGTTGGATCAATATATTATATATACAAAGAAATCATTTACCACTACCATAAAATAACATTAAATTAGCTGAAAAAAGATGAACTCTTCCTCGCACGGCCATAACAATTAACATAACAACTCTGAACTCTTCCTCGCACGGCAAACTTAAAATAACATTAAATTAGCTGAAAATATGACAAAACACAACTGAGAGTACACAATAAGACCAGAATGTTTATACCAATTATTTATACCTCAGCTCATAGCTCATTAGGAGTACGAAGCAAAGTCCTATTCAATTCATTAGATCTCCATGGCTACCATTTCTTACTTGTTTCTTTTTGTCATCTTCATCATCCATTCCAGCTCAAATTGCATTGTTCCGTGTAGTGGAAACAATATTAGCACTGATGTATCTGTTCTTTTGTCTCTCAAAGCCCAACTCACTTTACATCATCCAAACAATATTTTCGCTACAAACTGGTCTACTGCCACTTCTATCTGCCATTGGATTGGAGTTCAATGTGACTCGCAACACCATAGGGTGGTGGCATTGGATATTTCAAATATGGGTTTGTTAGGCCAATTTCCTACCTCCTTGGGAAATCTCTCCTTTTTGTCCTTCCTGAATATGAGCAATAATAATTTCATTGGAGAAATTCCAAAATCAATCTTCAACATCTCTACACTTGAATATATTGATTTTTCAAATAATAGTTTGTCAGGTATTCTTCCCCCAAACATATGCCATCAACTTTCAAGTCTTAAATATCTAATTTTAGATTTGAATAGTTTTAATGGTCCAATACCGGCAAATTTATCCGCATGTTCAAAACTTCGTCTGTTGGGATTGGTACTCAATATGTTTGATGGGTTGATACCTAAAGAGCTTGGCAAGTTAGAGATGCTTGAGAAACTATTTATTGGTGGCAACAATTTAACAGGTATTATTCCATGCATCTTTCCATATATTGACTTAATTATATTTTTTAAATAAACTTCAATTTAGTCGATACTTTTACGCTCTTCGGCTATCGTTTTTATAGATACATCCAAAACGAGTAAAGGTATAAATTGTGGGTAAAGTCAAAAATTATATTTTGCATAGCTTCAAGTTGAGACAGTATTTAATTTATACAATTTATTGTTTCATAGGAACAATTCCTAATGAATTGGGTAATCTCCATAATTTGAAGAAATTTGCCATAGAAGGAAACCAGATTATAGGCTATATACCGACGTTCATTTCCAACATGACATCACTTCAAACCTTGTCATTGGGGACCAACAAGCTCATTGGATCCATACCTAAAGAGATTGGAAATTTATCATCTCTTCAACAGTTATGGCTTGATGAAAACTACTTCACAGGTATGTTTGAAAAGCCAAATAATGTTCCAAAAAGAATTTTTAAAATTCTAATTTTTAAGCGTATGTTGTGCTATGTAACAGGTACGATACCTAGAGAAGTTAGCTACCTTTCTAAATTGGAAATCATTGTTTGTCAAATTAATAATCTAAGTGGTACTTTACCTGAAGGGCTCTTCAACATTACTACATTGCGTGTAATTGGTCTGGCAATTAATCATCTTTTGGGTAGTATTCCTTCAAATATGTGCTCTGCACAAACCAACCTTGAAGAAATTACTCTAGCCAAAAATGAGTTAAGTGGAGTCATTCCACATTCAATAGCAAATTGTTCCCAACTCACTACTATATCTCTCAGTGCTAACCATTTCATTGGCTCCATTCCAAACTCTCTTGAAAATCTTAGCCTTCTCCAAGTTCTTGAAATGTCTGCAAATAAACTAGCATCTGATCCTTCCAATTCCTCTCCAGAAATAAACTTCATAACTTCTCTAACAAAATGCAAAAAGTTGAAAAGACTAGATGTGGGTGGTACTAGTCTACATGGAACTCTTCCCAGATCCATTGGTAATCTGTCTTCCACTCTACAAATCTTTTATGCAGAGAGTTCAGGGTTGTACGGCACCATCCCAGATGAAATTGGCAATCTAACTGGCCTAGAAATCTTAGCAATGTCTGCTAATGACTTGAGTGGAACAGTTCCAAACACATTACAAAGGTTACATGGGCTTGCACGTTTGGATCTGGCTGGAAACAAATTAAGTGGTCCACTAACTAGGAATTTTTGTAAGGTGCGGAATCTAGGAGAAATTTATTTGAGCGAAAATGGAGTTTCAGGTCCTATCCCGGAATGCTTAGGGAACGTTACTTCTCTACGATATATCCACCTTGGTTCAAATAGAATGAATGGTATAATACCTTCTAACCTTTGGAACCTGAAAAACCTCTTGACGCTCAACCTGTCCTCTAATTCCTTTAGTGGGGCTCTACCTTCTGAAATTGAAAATCTGAAGGTTTTATATCTCCTTGATTTGTCAAACAATAACTTATCCGGCATCATCCCCAGCACAATAGGAAGCTTACAAAATTTGATAAACCTTTCTTTGGCACAAAATCAAATACATGGACAAATTCCAGAGTCAATAAATGGGATGTTAAGCTTGGAATCACTAGACTTGTCACGTAACAATCTCAGTGGTTCAATTCCAGTTTCCTTGCAGGCAATTAGATATCTACACCATTTGAATGTCTCTTTCAATAGCTTAAGTGGTGTAATTCCATCAAATGGTCCTTTCAAAAACTTCACAAGCTTATCCTTTCTATCCAATGAAGCATTGTGCGGAGATGCCAGGTTTGGAGTTCCACCTTGCCATAAAAGTGTAGTTCAAAGGTCTAAAGCAAAAAGAATTCTTCGATATATTTTGATGGCCTTGGGAATTACAAGCGTTATCCTAGCTTTGGTAGTGGGAGTTGTGTTGATTACTTGTTGGAGAAAAAAGAAGCATTCAAAGAATGAAGAATTGTTACGTGTTAAAGAGGTGGAGAGAGTATCATACTATACACTTTTGCATGCAACAGATGGATATAATGAGAGGAATGTGATTGGTGCTGGGAGTTTTGGCACAGTGTATAAAGGGATTCTTGAAGATGGAACAATTTTGGCCATAAAGGTGTTTGATGCGCAGCTTGAAGATGCATTCCAAAGCTTTATTGTCGAATGCAAGATAATGTTCGACATTCGCCATCGAAATCTTGTTAAATTGTTAGGCTATTGCTCCAACCCAAATTTTAAAGCCCTGGTTCTTGAGTACATGCCAAAGGGGAACCTTGATGACTGGTTGTATACCCAAGACCGTTTCTTGGACATCACCCAAAGATTGAATGTAATGATTGATGTTGCATATGCACTTGAATATCTTCACTATGGTTATCCAAAACCCGTGGTTCATTGTGATCTGAAGCCAAGTAATATTCTCCTAGATGAGGACATGGTTGCTCATGTTGGTGATTTTGGAATCGCAAAGTTGTTGGGTAGTGATGATAGCATTGCATACACAAAGACCCTTGCTACATTGGGTTACATTTTCGTAATTATTATCAACTTCACTTTGCAAACTTGAACACTTAAATATGCAATCTATAACAATTAAATATGCAAACACGGATAAATTAAAAAAAAAAAAATCAATGAAATAGCTAAATTTTAAATCTAAATTGTAAATGCTAGACCCTAAACAGTAAAAAGTGAATCAATAAACCAAATAAAATCAAAAACTAAGTCATAAACTCTAAAATTCAAATCATAAGTGTAATACACTTTCGCATATTTGCAAGTGCAATCTTTTAATACTAAATATGCAAACTTAAAAATTTCTAAGAAGTGCAGATTTTAGTGTTCAAGTTTACAGAGTGAAGTTGGTGATAATATAATTGTGAAAAATATCACCACATTTTTTAAAATATGATTTGATCCATTGAATTTTTCTCGAAGTAAGGTTGAGATTGGTTTGTAGTTTTTTCTTAAAAACTTGTTCTCATATGATCCGATACCTATATATATATATATTTGAAGGATCAAGTGCGGTACTAGGCTTCAGGTAAAAGATGGAGTTTAATCTCAGCCCTTGTTCTAATCAAAATCAACAACCCGATTGAAGAAAACTTTTAAAAAATGTGGTGGCAATTTGGTCATTTTCTGTATTGTTGAAAGTTAATGTGCGCAGTTTTTGTGTTTAATGCGTTGTGTTCTTTCGTAAGGTGCGTGGTTTCTGTGCTTAAGGTGCGTCAGTTCTTCAATTGAGAACTTAAGGTGCATTTTTTGTTGAAACTTAAGGTGCGTCAGTCTAAAGCTTTAGGTGCGTCTTTCCATAGCTTATGGTGCGCCCTCTTTACACTTAAGGTGCATGGTTTCTGTGCTTAAGGAGCGTCAGTTCTTCGGTTGAGAACTTAAGGTGCGTGTTTTGTTCAAGCTTAAGGTGCGGCGTTCCATAGCTTAAGGTGCGTCTTTGTAACACTTAAGGTGCGTCTTTATAACATTTAAGGTGCGCCATTTTTACACTTTGCTTCTTTCCACTTAGGATGTGCCTTTAAAAAAAAAAAAAAAATCATTGATTTGAGCTGTTGATTTAGATTTGATCAACAACTCAAATCTTACCCCATCTTTCACCTGAGAGCCTTTTCCCACTTGAACTGATATATATATATATATATATATATATATATATATATATATATATATATATATATATATATATATATATATATATATATATTTGTATGTATGTATTAGATCAAATGAGAACAAGTCCTTAGAAGAAAACTAAGAACCAATCTCAGCCTTACATCTAGAAAAATCGAACAAATCATATTTAATTTTAAAAAAAAATGCGATGATATTTTTGTAATATCACCAACTTTGCAACTTAGAACATCATACTCTGCACTTCTCAGATTTTCCAAGAATGTACATTATGTTGTTACAAAGTACATGTTTAGTATTAAAAAATTATACTTTGCAAAATACGAAAGCACAGTGCACTTAGGGCTTGAATTTTAGAGTCTATGACTGAACTTTTTAGTTTTATTTGATTTTGGGGTTCACTTTTACAGAGTTTAGTGTTATAAGTTGCACGGTAAAATTGATGATAATTATAAAAATACCACATGAGACACACGTGGTATGTTCTCATGACACGCGCGCGTGCACACGCGCACACACACACAGATATGGAGAGAGAGAGAGAGAGAGAGAGAGAGAGAGAGAGAGAGAGAGAGAGAGAGAGAGGTTTCGGTGAATACATACTCCTAAGTAAAAAGTGATGACTAATCTGATTCATTTATTTGGGTAAATCAATGGTTGAGTGTGACTGAAAGATAAAGCAAAAAAGAATGAGGTTAGTTTTATAAATATTACAAAATTTTAATTTTAAAATTAACCCCGTATTTTTTTTTTTTACTAAAACCTTTAACAATTGATGGACGATTGTGATCCTTCCTCACTTTTCACAAAAGAATCATGTTCACATTTAAACCTCTTGATGTGCGTTTATTTCTTGGGAAAATGTACAAATAGGCCATTGAACTATTTGGGGATAGCAATTAAGCCACCAAACGCAAATACGGAGTAAGTTCCAAATAGATCCATGAACCTGCAAAAAAATGCAATGTGCATTTTTAGCAGGTTACCAACAAGTTTGTGATGATTAGGATGTCATGTATATTTTTTATTTTTTATTTTATTATTATTATCCTACTAAGTATTTGACCAAAAAAAAAAAAAAAACTAAGCATTTGACTGTCAACTATAGCTTCTCTATTTTGCATTTTTTTTTTCTCTCTTTCGCGGTTGTTTGCGGTATTTTTGAATCAGGAAAAATAAACTGAAATTTCAATTTAAGAAATTACATGCATAATATAATACAAAGTTTGTCTATACATTGAGTAGTTATACCAAATATTTTGACATGTAAAAATGTAATGTTAATATAGATTTGCATTGCTAAGCATAAAATATATTGTTAATATAGTTTGCACTGCCTTGCAAAAATACATTGTTAATTGCAGCACTACACCATTTGATAAGGATAAATATATTGTTAATTTAGTACTGCCAAAACATTAACCCAAAACAACTCTTCTGTTAAAACATTAACCCAAAACACCTCCAACAGAATCACACTTTGCTTTAATGTGCCCTTCTTGTCTACAAATGGAACATCTCATTATTCGACCCTTCCTACTTAGTTGAGTCTTCTTGCTAACAGTTGATGAACCTTCATTTTCCTCACGATTTCTTTTCTTCTTGACCTACCTGTCATTTTTTGGGGAATTGGAGCCAAAATTTTCTCACAATTTGATTTAGGCCAGAAGAGTTCTCCATCCATCGGTAGAAGAGCATGTGCATACGTCCTTTGATATATTTCTTTTGAGTAGCATGGATCAAGATAATCCTCCATATTCCTGCCTTTATCGAAGATGGCACATATAGCATGAGGACAAGTATACCTGTCAAATCTCATGATCTACACAAACCTGTCCTATTTTCAAGCCTGACTTTGAAATCATTTCGACCTTCTTAATCTTGTATCAATCATCTCCATTAAAATCAACTTAGCAACAAAATTTACCACTCAAATTTAAATCCCAACAAATGTAATGTTATATTATTAAAAAAAAAATTGTATAAACAATGTACCTTCCATCCAATGCTTTCTTTCTTATTTGCAGTTAGTTTCTTAATAATAAGTGGTCCATATCTACCTTCCCAAGTGTCTACAAACTTCAATTTTTTGGCTATCCTTCTCATAACAAGTACTCGAATGTCTTCAAACATGAAAATTATTGGCTTGCATCTTGCTTTAAGCAAAGTCCCATTGAATGCTTCGCATATATTGTTATCAACAATGTCACATTTACTTGTTGTTTAAAAAAACCTTGCACCAAAACTTAGATGGATACCGTTCTAGGTCAGCTTTAATTAGTCGGCCTCTTTGTCTCTCATTTCTAAGGTTTTTAGTTGTTCATGAAATTGAACTTCTGTTGTTGACTTGGCACACATCCAAAAGTGATTCTTCGTAACCTTTCCTTTGTGGCGCTTATTCCAATTTGCATGCACATGCCTTGCACAATTTCGGTGCTTTGAATCCAAAAATAGCTCTTAGATAACAATTGTTAATCCCTGAAATTAAAATTATATAGATAATGATCCAGTAAGAAAGACACTAGTCACTGTTTAGGAAGCAAAGAAACATTGGTCACTGTAATGTAGATACTGCTAGTGACTGGAATTAAAACAAGCTAGTCTGTTACATACTCAAATTTAGTACGCAACAGAAGAAACCTTTCGAGCAGGCTTCTGGCTCCAATCCGTATTCGAGTTACGGTAACTCCAAAAGTAAAACAATATAACAAAAGAAAATGATGAAGAACTCTTCAATATAAAAGACTGGAATAACAATATATTTCTCTCTTCTCCCATCTTCATATACAATGGTCTATTTATACTAATCTACTAATACCTATAATAATTAACCTACTAAAATTATACTAACTATACAAGGTAATGATATATTGTGATTTACATAATTTCCTTATACTAATTTAGGTACAATATTAACTCTCCCATTAATTAAGTTGTACCATCCTAATTATCATACTAATTCTAGAAATATAATTAATTCTTCATAATTAAACTATATATATAATTACAATTAAGGGCGTATCATAGTCACTGTAATTAAGATATGCTAGGCACTGTAATTAAAACAAGCTAGTCACTATAATTAAGATATGTTATGCTAGGCCTCTTTCACACTATAAATAGCAAGAAAGAACTACCAATACATTCACGCAAATGAAATCAGTAAATACATTTAAGAATGCGTACCTTCTGCTGATCATTGATTATTGTCCAAGGGTAAGTGTAGGTGATTCCCAAATCATTTTTCAGCAGCTCTAAAAACCATCTCCATGAATCTGTATTCTCAATCTCCACCACAACCCATGTAATAGAGTACATCTGATTGTTTGCATCTCTTCCTGCTGCAGTTAATATTTCTCCCTTTAGCAACCCTTTGAGAAAAGATACATCCAGTCCAATAATCTTTCTACATCCATCTAAGAAACCCCTTGTCAATGCCTCAAAACATACATAAATTCTTCGGAACACATAAGGACTGTCAGTTGTGACCCTATTGGTTTTTAATTAATATTACTGTGCTTCTTGGGTTAGAGTTGATACACTCTTGTGCATAGTCCCTTATTCTCCTAAACTGATCCTCAAAGCTTGCATTAATTTTTTTGAGCATAGACCTAATTGCTCTTCTCACTTTGCTAATGCTTAAATTTATTTTCAATTTTGACTCAATGTGGTTTTTCAACTCTATAGGTCCAATGCAAGGATTATCTCTAATTTTTTTTCTCGTATTTATCTTCTATCAAATTTTGACTCACCAAATGCAAGCTGAACTTTTGATTGCAATTATGGTCCGCCTCAAGAGTCTTTATTTGAAAACACTTGTATTTCTCCTCCCATGAACCAGTGTAATGAAATGGGCAGCCTTTACCATCAGTATTCTCAATGCCAGTACATTTAAACATTACTCTTGAACTCTCATTTTCA